TTCACGCACCTGAAGATTTTGCCAAAGTTGAAAAACATGACGATGACTGTCCGTACGTGTTAATGTGTGTGTGTTACAGGAAATCTCAATGTGTGTCTTAATAAGCATGTATGTCACTCAGGTCTTTAGTTATTAGTGACTCGCTGTCTTTGTAGCTTGTAAACGAGTGTCTGTTGGTAAGCATGTATACATAGAGACACTGACAACAGGATGTAATATCTTTTAATAAAGTGGGACAACATCATATACAGAGTGCTGTGATGACAAGTTTTTGCTAACCAAGAATGACAGGGCATCCAAATATGAGGCTGCAAGGGTGATTCTGTTGTTGAAGTTATATCAACATAATAACTGAGGGACAGCTGAGGTGATCCTGAGCAGCCCTTAAAAGCAGAGACAGTCTCAACCTGGGAGCTGATTCCATAACAGTGGGGGGGGGAGAAGAAAAAGAAAAAAAAAAACAAGTTATGTATGTCATTGATAAAACTTGAAACGCATACTATGAAGAAGTGTCCTATGTCAGCCAAAAAAATAAATCAAAGGCCTTGGATCGTATGTCTCCAAATAAAAAACAAACAAACCATTTTTATAGTCCGTCTTCAAATAAAAGTCATAGCACTGCAGATAAAGCCACAATATACCGTGTTTGCAAATTAACAGGTCATCAAAACAAAAACATCATAGTACAGCTTGTCAGCAAAATGATGTCATAGTATGTCCTTAAAACATGTCATATGTTGTCAAAGGCACTACAAAATGTCACAGCATCACTGAAAAAACATCATGGTGCAGTATATGGTTGAAAATACATCATAGTATTGTTTAGCATAGAAAACATAGCATAACATGTCAGTGAAGTGTGTTTGTCAGAAAAACACATCGCTGTAATATGTCGACAAACATCATCGAACAGTGACTTTGGTCTTTTAACACGTTCATTTCCTGCTTCTCTTTGACAGCTGCAGCCACGTCACTCATCTTTTCCCGAGTCTTGTCTGCGGTCTGCCACACCTGCACGACCTGGAAATACAAAAAGACAAGAATGTGAACAACAGCCATTCAGACTCACTGATCACCTGTGTCTCCCTCATCAAGCCTCTGCCTGGCTGATCGCTACCTGTGCCCACAGGTGTGCAGGTAACCCTGGCAACCAAGTGCCTCAAAGACATCCACTTACAACATACACACACAGCATTAGTGTAATTTGGCTACAACAAGCACCATGGCAACGCCTGCATTGTGTTCGTGGCATTTTCACTTAAAACTGACCATTTTCTCGATAAGTTGTAATTTCATGTCAGCTTTTTTTTTTTTTTTTACATTTATGTGATTAAAGCTGCAGAAAAAGGATTTAAAAAGAAAATACAAAAATTAAAGCTGCTTTTCTGTGATTTGGATGAGTCATTGTTTTCTCATAATTATGCATTTGTTCTGTTCTTATCCAACATTTCATAGATCTGAGGCTGGAATGTTTTTTTCTCACCTCGATGGATTTTTTTTCTGGAATCTCGTCTCTCCGGCCTGTTCCTGGTTCCCCCCTCGGCTTTTCTCTTCTTTCCTGTAGAAGACAAAAACAATACTCAGTCATAAAGTGCATGTCCGTAAGAAATGGAAAAACCATCTTCAAATGTGTGGAGGACAGTTGAGAATAAAAACGCAACTGAGACGGGATCAAAGTGTTTGCAGGCTCAAAATCTTCAAATCTGCAGTTAAGACGTCTCCCTTTCCTGAGCCAACATTGTCACCTTTAAGTCCCACCACAGCAAAAAGTCTACTGTAACTGGTTAGAGACCGGCTCAGTTCCTGTCAAACCAGTCAGGGAACTATGCTGCCGGCTTACTGGTTATTTGGGAGCCAAAACAAAGTTGTTTAAAATATTTTGTATGAATTGTTGACGGTTCAGTCTTAAAGGGGATCGATCCAAAAAAAAAAAAAAAAAAAAAAAAAAAAAGCACATCAGGATTTAGAAGTGAAGAAAAGAGGGATTTATTTTACAGTTGCTAGCGGAAGCCAGTGAGGGGAATCCTGGGGGGACTGGGAGACAAGAGGACTGAGGCTGGGGTTCTGCTACCTGAGCTGAGCTGGGGAGGTTCTGGCAAAGAGCACAGATGAAACACAACGTTCTCAATTCACTGCTGGCCCGTTACCATCTACTGACGCTGGAGCAGAGGTGGAGGCAGGCTTTATCCAGGAGTTCTCCCATCTGGAGACCCCGCCCAACCTGAAAACCACCAGCAAGCACATCCACTAGAACACCGTTGCACAAAACTCTGATCACCACAATTTGAGAATTTCCTGCATTTTCAGACCTGAGCATTTGAAACAGTCAATATCTGCATAACTAACTCCCAGAACCATGAAATATACAAACAGAATAAGTAAACTGACCCTGGAGTCACAGACTTTGTGCTACAATAGCAGCAGGGACCTAAAGGTGACCATGTGAGCATACAAAAATGCAACAGAGGGTTTAGGTTAGAAGCTTAGAGGTATTTATTTGTGGTTGCAGGAAGACAGGAACACACCAGGAAGCATGTGAGGGCAGCTGAGTGAGGGAGGGAAGGTTTCCAAAGGGACCGGGAGGCAGAACCGCTGAGGCTGGAGCTTGGCTGCAGAAGGCGTCGATCCACCAGGGAGGCTTCTGGTAGAAACGCACACAACAATCACAATTAGGCAAAGCAAGACTCTTCAAGCACAAAGTTTCTGTAGACCGCTGGCTGGCCTGTTACCGCTGGAGGGAGGAACAATCCACTGGCGCTGGAGCACAGGTGCTATCTGGTGCCAGTTACCAATCAGCCTCAGGTGTGGAGGAGAGTGAGCGTGTCCTCTCCTGTCCGACAGCCCCACCCGGCCTCAAACACATCTGTAGAAGTTAAACTCATCTTAGCAATATGATTATCATCACATCTGCTCCACACATCCACCACCCAATCAGGATGGATTGTACAACTTTAGGGAACCTTTCAGTCCTAACCTTTGGTTTATGTTTTGGTTGTTCCAGGGCGAGGCTTGGAGACAGATCTGGTCCGCCAACCGGAGGTTGGATCACACTCTCCGCAGCTACCAAACTGATACTTGCAGTCAGCTGGAAGAGAAGAGGGACAAGAGACAAACCCAAGACATCATGAATCATTGGATCTTGATTGGCTGCATGACAATCTGTAACTCTGTTGGTGCCTGAAACACACATTTACAGTATTTATGAAATGTTTGGTTCAGCACAGTTCCCATCTTGTATTGTACCATTCAACTGCTGCAGTCATTAAACTATGGCAAGAAAAAAATAAACCTAAATGATCAAGTTCTCATCAAAATAAAATCAGGTGGATCCACAAAGAACTTTCTTAAAGAAGTCCGTCATGGCAAAAACTGCTCATCTAAGTATCGAGAAACAAGATATGAACCACTGTCAGTCCACAAGATGTTGTTTCAGTGACAAATGAAAAGCATCAAATTAGTGCTGCAACTAAACATATATTCATCACTATGCAGATTATTTTCTCATTTAGCCTGTAAGCGCTCAACACAAATTTCAAGCTGGCCTCTGGTAACGTGATGTTAGGCAGTGGCCCAACAGTCCAGAACCCAAAACATTAAACGGCTTCTCATGGAAGAGACGCAGAAATGCTGAGAATTCTTACGTTTGACTGCTTTTGGCTTAAAAATGACCTGAACAACTATTAAGTTCTTATATGAAAATGGAACCAGGAAACATCTTAAATAGATTCTTAAAGAACCAGCACCAGACCTCAGGGAATCACTTTTCAAGGCACCTCTTTGACAAACTTCTTTCTAAAAAGTTCTTTGTGGAACTAAAAGCTTTTTTTTATTGCATCACAGCAAAGAACGACTTGGTTCCAGTGAGCACCTCAGTTTTTCCAGGTGATGTGGACGATCATTTGGTGATCTGAGCTGGAACAACACGTTGGTTGTGTTGATGATCTGAGAAACAAAGCTGCTTTTTAAAGCCTTTTCAAGAAATCCCTCAGTCTTAGTCTGCTGTTTGTATTTCTAACTTTTGAACATTTTAATGTTTCAAAATGCAGTTCAAGGCAAAAAGACTCACTTTGTTAAATGTTTGACGATATTTGTGTCGTTATGACACATTCATGTTTCCTGATGATACTGGGACTAAACATGTCGTCTACGTGGATCATCTGGTTTTAAATGAGAGCATCAAACATGACAACATCCAGAGAGAGAATCTTCAACCAATTCATGGAGAAAACCTTCAAAACCAGCTTCTGTTTGAGCCTCAAAACTAAAAGCTGAGCCTGTAATCATGAGTTCAGATCAACTCAACATGACAGAGCGCAGACGGCCCAGAATAAAGCCGCTTTGGTTTGTATCTGCTTCCAGAAACCACTCAACTGTTGTCTGATCGTCACATTTGATGCTTTCAGACCATCTGCAGTGTTCATGAACCGATTCAGCTCACCTGGATTCACAGAGTCCTGCATCCTGAATCCACTGGACAGCAACAACAAACCCAACCAGCATCAGCTGATCCACCTCTACTTCCTCCCATCCAAACCAGGAGGCGCCTCCTGCTGGCTGAAGGTGGAACAAAGCTCAGAAAACTCCTGCAGACAAGAACAATCAGCTCACTGCAAGAAGAACAAGGTTTTAGTTTATGGTTCTGAACAGTTTGTTCTGAATTTAGTATCTATGTAGGACAAAGACTTGAAGAAATCTTACCTCAGGATCAGAGGCAGCGACCAGCTCAGGATCGGGGACAGGGACGGAGGCGTCTACCTGCTTGGGAACAGAGGTGGTGGGGACCAGCTCGGAATCAGGAACAGGGGCGGCGTCCCCCTCGGGAACAGAACAGGAACGGAGGCGGCGGCGAACTGCTCGGGGACAGGAAGCTTGGAGTCCAAGGGAGCAGGTTCAGGTTCTTCCCTGGGTGTTGGTGTGGTCAGCTCATGACCTGACAGAACCAGCAGGCTGGTTGGGTGACAATCATTAAAGCACCCTGGCTGGTTACAGCCTGCTGGATCGGCATGGGGAGCAGAGATGAACCAGAGCCGGGTTCTGTGTCCGCTGGGTTAAATTCTGGCCAGACTGTGAATCACCGTCCTGGAGCGGACATCCAGCAGTGCGCACAGCGTCCAACAGAACCGACAGCCAGCAGCTCCGCATGCCGAAGCAAAATGAGCGCATTTTATGCGTCTACCAGACAATCCAAGAGCGCAGAGCAACTCACCTGCACGGAGGAAGTGGGCCACCTGCAACCAGCGGGCCGCCAAACCTCCACCGGAGATGGAAGGAAGAGGTCAGGAGGCCCAAACACATCCGCTTTTAAAGACGCACGGTGCCGCCCACTAATCAAAGGTGACAAGACTGACACAGCGCCACATGGTGGCCGCGAGACGAACATCTCCGGTCACACCGAGCCGGGTTCTGTGTCTGCTGGGTTCAGTTCTGGCCAGACCATACTGTCATGGGGGGATAAATAAATAAATCGAGGAACCCAGGTGTGGACACAGATCAGGCAGACAAGCAGGTTTAAGTGAAAAAAGGATTTAATAAACCAGAAGCAAAACAGCAAACTGATACAAAAGTGCAAACTTCACCGAGTGGAAAACAGAACGGGATAAACCAGACTAAAAACCAGCGACAACAACCAGGGAAAACGCCAAACGAAGAACAGAGGGGGAAAAACCTAATGAATTCAAAGATGAAAAAAAACTAAGCTTCTCAAAAAAACAGGAATACTCACAAAAGGGGACCAAACCAGGGACAGGCTCAGGGGATCCAGGGTGGAAGCAGCGGCAGGAGAAAGCTGGCTGGGTGGATGCAGGCTGGAGACGGAGCAGAGACAAGCAGCAGGAACAGCTCTGGAGAGAACAGAGTCTTTATAGGAGCTCTGGTGATTGTGTGCAGGTGAGTCCAGAGTCGCAGGTGTGGCTGATTGTCCTTGATTGTGTGCTGAGATGCAGACAGGCGAGAGCTGGGGGGTCATGACATAGGGACTCTTTTGAGACAGATTTTTATTTTTTAATGGATAAAAGATCAAACACCAAAACTACTGGATTTTACATTTCCCGTGATGCCAAAGTTTCCCTTCGGTACAGCCGCCCCGGTCAGCCCAGTCTCTGGTTGTTTCTTTAGGGTTTGTAGGTGAGAAGTTGGCTGAACATCTCTCCCAGGAGCAGGAGACATTATGTACTTACAAATGATTGAGGACTATTAGCTTACCCCTGTGGGGAGGGAGGGGGACCAGACAAGATCAGGTACTGTTGGGATAATGAATAAGCAATAACACGGCTGCTCGGGCACATTCCCATCAAAAGTTAATCACTAAATAATGACCTCGCCTCGATCTGCTGCCTAATGGCTCTTTAGCAACAAATTGAGCAATTTTCCAACGACACAGAACATGTACAGTCATCAGTTCAATTTAATTGTATTTCTATGGCGCAGTTTACAACATATGTCATCTCACAGCGCTCAACCTCACCAAGTTAAACAGAACCCAACAAGCCAGAGCTGCCTTTGGACTCCCTCTGAGCAAGCAGTCGGAAACCAAACCAAAAAGGAAGAAAGGGGAAAAATCCTCCGACAGAACCAGGAAAGGAGAATCAGAACCAGGAAAGGCAGCCATCTGCCTCGACCGGTTGGGAATGAGTGGAGACCAGACGGATAGCAGGAGAGCAGCAATAGAACAGAGGCCTCATTTATAAATCATTGTGTGGAATCCACACTGAAAGTGTGCGTGCACCAAACCGTGCACATCTGCAAGCACTTCTCCCCTTATAGATCAAGATCCACCTGAGAAGGTTGCGCAGATGTATTGAGCTCATGTAGAGGCCGCGCTGTGGTTTTGTCCAAGTGAAATGAATGCAACATCTCATGCAACAGGAAGTTCAGAGGTGCAGACGAGTAGAGAAGGTTTTACAAATAGCTTCAACACCTCATGTGTTCCTGGAAACTGCTTCTCACATTGAATGTCTGGGAAAAGGTGCTATAACACAAACACTGTTTAATAAGAGCTCCACAGAAGGTGGGACGGTCCTCAGGCTGAAGGGAGTGAGACAGAAAGAGGGACTGAAGCCAAATGAAAACATCGACCTCAGTTCTCAGCTCAAGATAACAAGACCAAAAAAAACCAAACAAAAAAGCAGCTACAATCTGTTCTGTCTCTAAACTCATTAAGAGTGTTATGAAAGGCAGCATTCTTTATCTCTTGGCCCATTCAAAGTAGTTTAAAAGGCCTTAATAAAACTGCTTCTTCTTTACATGAAGCTTTAGTTGTGCAGGACAAGAACCATTTATTCTGCAAACACTATTTCAAACTCAGCAGCAGTAAAATCTTTGATGCACCTCTTTTTTTTTCTTCCAGACAACATGTCGGTCCGTCCCTGCAACAGATATGACGCTGACACTTTCTGCAAATCGGGAAAAGTTCTTTCAGTTTTTCATGCAGAGACAATGTCAGGATTAGCAGTGATAACATATGCAGTCAGCTCAGCTGGATGGAGCAGGAGGCTATTTACATGCATGAGACCCATGACGGTGGCAAAAAGAGTCGACTGCAAATCAGGAGACACAGGTCGGCTGAGTGGACCGAGATCTGGGCCGGGACTGGGTTGACTGTTCCCAGATGTCAGCAGCAGGAGGAGAAGCAGCCACTTCAGGCTTGCATGGCCTGAAAGGAAATCATTGGTGGCATCACTTCTGTGTCTCAGAGCTGCAACATCACAGGGCTGTCAGGAAAACAGGGATGAATATAAAGGAACATGATCACATCTACGGAGATCACTTGGGTGACACAAGCTGAGGTGTGTGAACGAGAGAACCTGTCTGACTGGGATGTAATGAACCCAGAGGGTGAAAAAAACCCCCAAAAACTATAATTAAAAAACAGAACATGACACACCAAAGAGGAGATGTTTGAGACAACAGCTTGCGGCCACACCCTGGAAGTTCAAGAAATACCTGCAGAGGTTGAAGAGAAAAAAGGTTCAGTGAGATTGGATATAAAATAAGTCCAGCAGCTGGGATGATGCTTTGGTGTCTTATTTTATTTTATAAGTCAGATGAGAGAATTTAACAGCAGTTTGACAGATGATGTGAGTTCAGTGATTTAAACTGTGGAACAACAAATATGTGGTAATACTACAATATGCAAACCACTGGAAAATGATTCTGGAGTACATTTAGGTCCTGTTATAATTATGTTTTGAGTCGTTCTTCGTGCAAACAAATTACTGCTCGAGTTTTGCTTTAACTCAGCCGAGTGAAGCTGACACGAGCACTTCTAGTATTTAAACATTCTCCCAAATGACCCTTGATCCAGGGAGCGCGAGGCAGATTGAGATTGTTGCAGCATCTTGCAGAATTAGACAAACTAAGCACAAGACTGACCTCTGAACAGCTCTTTCTTGGTCCAGTGCTGCAGGCCAAACACAACACGTTACAAAGGTAAAATCATACACTCCACATGGTTGCAAACTGCTTTTTAAATGCTCCATTAATCAGTTTTAAAATGAACGGTTAAATGAGTAATCATGTGTCCTTACCTGTCAAAAAGATAAATCATGGGAGTCGAAAGTGAAATTTAAAAAGTGAATTCCTGTCTTCATCGAGTTCTGGGTTGGTCTTTCTGGCTGCAGTTTGCATGTTCCCTCGGTGAGCCTGGGTTTTCACCAGGTGCTTCGGCTTCCCAAATGAACCTGCTGCGGTTCACTGGTGATTCTCAGTTGGCTGTAGGTGTGAGTGTCTGTCTGCCTCTCTGTGCTGGCCCTGTGATGGACTGACGACCTGTCCAGGGTTCACACACTCCCAGTTTGATACCATTTTCCAAGATAGTACACACATCAGGTACAATCAATTTATTAAAATCAATCCAGTATATGAAAAAAAAAAAAAACTTCTGCACCCAGGCTGTTTCCTAATGTTACAAAAGTGGTCACAAACCCTGTTGTAAAGCTCTGGTTGGGTGCAGCGCGGCTCCACAAGCTGGAAAAGACATCAAAACACTGTTTTCTCTCCATGCATGGCAGATAATAGTTAGATGTAATACCTGTCTGGGCCGACAGGTGGAGCAGTTTACTCTTTAATACTGTAGCAACACATTGAGGCATTGGCTTGGGCAGCGAGCACTGTGGGGGGTCAACGAGGAACAACAGGGTATCATGACAAACACTTTGTGACACTTTACAGTCTCCAGTCACATACATCGGACAAGATGGGACTGATGCTGATAAAAATCTGATTGTGAGACTTCACAAAGATGGGAAAGAATACAGGAGGATGGGTGAGCAACTACAAATCAGCTGTAGCAACAGCTAGCAGGTGAAAAACAGGTGAGCAGCTGCTTCAGAGTGAACTTCTGATGACAGTGTGATGGACATAATGTCAGCTTCTACGGGCAGCGTTCAAAAAAAAAGAGCACAAAATAACAACATTAAACTTTGCCAAAGAACATTCCAGGAAACCAGATGAAGATCAGGAGCACATTCTTTGGTTTGCTTTAATCAGCTCAGAGCAGCATGTTTGGTATTAACTTGTACAAGACGGCTCGGCAGAAGAGGAACATTCCAGCAGCACCAGAACCATCCAAAGCACACTGACTTCAATACAACAGAACACAACAGAGAATGACAAAAAAATCCATCCTGAGATCAGCTGGTGGGACGTGTTCACATCCGTTTAACATGAGTGGATGTGTTTAATTTCCTTCAGCCCCAGTAGCTTTTATACTAAACTGTCATCCAGTTGTTGCTCCATATATCAAAAGTGCACATAAGAGTGGCATCAATCTTCTCATTAAACCATCTGTAAGCAATACGTAGATTTCCCAAAATGAGGAACGATGCTTTCAGTTTCTTTACAATCAGAGTTATCTAGCAGCATTATGCCGCCCCTGAGGTGGCAAGTAGCCACCTTACAATTTAATTTAAAATACTTTATTTGTTCCCTGGGGGCAACTTAAGAAACAGATAAGTAGTGTGAGGTGCAGGTGCATGTCTGTGATGCATGGCATACGCAAGGTCACCATGCAAAGGGGGACCACAGGCAGGTTGAGCAGGTGGGTCCAGTGTGGAGTTAAGGAGCTGAACAGCCCTGGGTATAAAGGTTGCTCTCCTCTGCATCCAGGACAGCCGAGCCGACGTCCTGAGGGGAGCCTCACACTGGGACCAGAGCTTTGAGGGTCCTGGAGGATCCTGCTGCTCACGCAGGCTACTGAGAGCTCTGAGTGGGAGTCCATTGTAGTCCAGTTGAGCCCCTTTCAGACGTGCGCTCTATCCATTTATCTGACGACCCTGGTCATGTTTCCGTAACAGAATCTTGCTCGGTCAGAGTCTGAACTCCACGCTGTCGCATTAACGCACAAGCCCGGGTGCTTGGAGTCGTGTCGGGTGATTTAGTTCAAGGCCTTTCAGCACCAAAGACACAGTTTGTGCACCGACATCACACAACCCCCTTTTCACTCACGCTGCTGTACAATTTAAAATCTGTCACACAACAAAATGAACTGTCCATAAATACAAAACAGATGCTAACAGCCTGGATTAATAACGCTTCACGATAACGAATGTATTCTGTCAACAGGAAGCTGATTGGAGGAGGTTTTTGTGGAGAAACCTGCAGCATCATACAGCAGCAGGATCCATATGAGAGGTAACGGTACCTTCGTTAACTCTTATAATAATAAAATAGCACATGGAGACAGGACGACACCTTTTTGTTGGTGTTGTGTTGTTTTTCTAGTACAACAATTTCCCTGAGGTTTGCACCGAAGGGAGCGATAAAGTTTTATTCTATTCTATTCTTCTACATTTCAACAAAGCTGTTAGTTATTTAAATAGTTTAATAAGATACAAGTAGTTTAGACTGTCTCCTCTGTCTGTTAATGTATTATTAAGAACCACACAGGACTTGCTGTGTCGTCTCATCTCACATGAATGACAAACTGTACATAATATCCTTCTTTTGTTTTTTAGCACCATCGTGGATAAGTAGGTGATTTTCGTCGTACTATCGCACAGAAGTATGGCTGTACGCTGACAAAGATTTCTCTGACCTCTCTTGTCGCTGTGGTTGGCATGTCTGAATGAAGCTGTGAGGAACATGAACAGAAGGCAACCAAAGTCTGAATCACAAAATGTGACCGTTGACGCAGCGACATCCCGTGTCTGAAAAAGGTTTTAAAGTGGGTGGCTCAGGAGTGCACCGCAGTCACTCAAATAAATGCTGGCAACGGTGCCGTCCTCCTGTTCCTGAATGTGATGGAAGGCCTCAGGTTTCTCAGGCACTACTTACATCTGGAGTCCGGTGGAGCCGTCGGTCCTGCCTCGCTGGACTCAGGTTGTCAGGACCGCTGGTTGCTCTGCTGCCTGTGGAAACGTGGAGGGAAAAAAAAAAGCTCATTCCATCTCAAATTATCACATTTTTAGAACGATTTCTGCTCGACCGTCGCTCATCTACTAAAATGAAATGTTTACATAGATGGTTGTAAAATTTGAGATAAACATTTTGAAAAACTTTAATTGGTGATTGTAAATTGTCCGTAGGTGTGAATGTGAGTGTGCTTGGTTGTCTGTCTCTAAGTGTAGCCCTGTGATAGACTGGTTACCTGTCNTCAAATATTAGCATTGCTGTATATTTTCGACCCAGTAGATTTGGTTATATTTTTTAAAAAACCTGTCATAAACCAATGAAAGGACCAAAACACTTCAGTCATTCCATCATAGAAAATTAAGAAGTAAAGGAATAACTGGAAACGTATTATGTCCAGAATATACTTGGTCTTCTGCTCACAACTGTCGCTGTGACCGTCCTCGTACCTGGCCAGGTTAATCCGAGCTTTCTGTCCCCCGCTGAGCGTGGCTCCTCTGTCCCCGATCAGTGTCCTATCTCCATCTGGGAGCAGCTCCAGGTCCTGCACTCAAAAACAGTGGAGGCTTAAGACACATAGGGCACACCCAAATGCTAAAATTTAGACAACACTCCACCATTTAATCAAAAATAAAATTTAATAAAAGTTTTTTCCTAACTGCCTTGGCTGTGGAAAAAAGTCAAAAAATTTAAATGAGTCCCAAACCCTCAACAGTACAAAATGGGCTTCATTGCTGTCAATGTAATGTGATAGGTATGTTGCAAAATAGTGTCCCATTCCGATGTATATTAGTTCCAGTCCTTGCAGGCTTGCATTCATACCACGTGATGTCAGTGAAGTCAGAGCGTTGAGTGCTTTGGGTGGCGTTATGCTGAAAGTACATGAGTACATGTGACATAAATTGTGTCATCTCCCCAAGTTCGCAAGAGTTCACGCGAACCCCTTCGCACACATCCTTAGCATCCATGTCTACAAGGGGAATAGTGCAGGTACGCTGCAGCCGAGTGCATGAATTACTGCACATGCACTTCACAGAGTCTTTAAAGCAGACTGGAAAATTGCAAAAAAATCAAACAACTACACGTCCATCGGCGTCTACACCAGACTATAATCAAGGTTGTAGGGGGCGATTGGGATTGGACCAAACAGATTACAAGCTAGTTGACTGTGAGGAGGAATTCATGAAAGTGTTTTGGATTAAGATCCACCTTCAACACATTAGCTTATAGGCAATCAGAAAAGAAACCAAACAATAATGTGTCGCCAC